GGACGAATTATATGATACGTGAATTTTTTTCTTTCTTGGTGGAGGTAAGTAATTAAGTCTTACTTATTTTTAGAGGAGGTACAGGGGATCAAACCCAGGACCTTGTGTATGCTAAGCATGCACTCTACCACTTGAGTTATGCAATCCCCCTATAATATGTGAATTATGTCTCAACAAAGTTAAAAAAAAATCCAAAGGCAAGATCTAGACAATTTTCTTAATTCTCTATTTTGGGTGTACAGATGTGATCTGAACTTCTCCATGCTTTGACAACATGTCTAAAATGAAGAGAAAATGAAGGCAGTGCCTAACTTCAACTGGTTTGTATAATGACCTTTCTGCACAAGGTATTCTGAAATCCATGAAATACACACAGATTCTATATCCATTCACAAAAGTGAAGATGAGACATGACAATTTTCTGGAACATTCCATGAAACATTGTCCTCTGATTTTATCTACCTTGCCTCATTGTGGTGAGAGATCACTAAAAAATACTGTTTAATAGGAAAAAAAAGTTAACTTCTGTGAGGAAACAGGTATAATTCTCAACTTCTCTAAGGGTAAACATTATAAGAAAAAAATAAAGAATGGCAGAATGGAAGTCAAAATTTAAGAAACAAGTGCATTATAAAGATAATAAAAGTGAAATTACAAAGAAGATGCAAAAGAAAGCTGTCCCTGAAAAGCTAGTGTCCTGCAACACTCTGCGCTGCACGTTCACGGCCGACGTGCTGAATTTCATACATACTGGGTTCGCAGTTTGCTGTGACTTCCTCTCTCCATCCCGTCTCTTGTTTTCTGAGTTAGTTTGATGATGTGCTGTCACCTCCAGGGACGCTTCCAACATGGACACTTTCTTTTGGGTGTCAGTCAGCTCTTGTTGAAGCTGTCTCATACGGGCCTAAAAAGATAACTCTGTTACTGAATTTTAAGTCACCTTATCATTGTTAACAATATATAACTTCAACAAATGGACTTTGACAACTATCCCCACAGTCATCAGTTCACCTTCTTTTCCTCATAGGCACACATTCCTGTTTACTGAATTTCATTAAACCCACAGAAGGCGTGACCCTCCTGCCTTACTGACAGTAAGTTAACTTAGACAATGGATGCAGTCCACCAGCCATTCCCTGCCACTCCCAGGAAGCGGCCAAGCTTTACCCCCACTGAAGTCTCTAACAGAAAGGGGTGTGTGGGTGGGATGAGTGTTGGTAATTTCCACACTGTGGAACATTCTCCCTCTTTCTCATTAGAGGCTTAAGTTCAGAGTTCTTCACATATTCAATCTGGTGTTTAAATCCTTCCAACAGACTCCCATCTCACAGTAAAAATGAGGTTATTCCAATGGCCTTTGGGGACCCAAGACAACCTGGCCTCCCCCACCTCCTGGACTGCAGCTCCTACAGCTCCCCCAACCCCTCCCACGCACTCCCTTCCTGCCACTCAGGACTCTGGCTGCTCCTCCTCAGTCTGAAAATGGGACCTCAATGCCAAACTCGTACATCACAGAGCGCCCCAGTTCCTCTGTACTGGACAAACTTAGATCCAAATGACAGTAACTGAGCCTTGCAATGAGAAGTGTAAGCACGTTATTTGGAAAACCGTTCAAAGTAAATTATAAATAGAACAGTGGAGACTAAGTCAAACAGTTTTGCTAAAATTTACATTTGTCCCAAATTATGACTGAATGAAAAGTAGATGCCTTTAAGGAGTGGAGAGGTCATAACATACA